TCCTCAGGTAAAATTTAACTATCATGAAGATCCATAAGTTTCTTTACTTTTTAAAAAAATATATATTTTTATTGATTGTGGAGAGGAAGAGGCAGGGAGAGAGAGATGGAAATATCAATGATGAGAGAGTCATTGATCAGCTGCCTCCTATTGGGGATCGATCCAGCAATGTGCCCTGACCAGGAATTGAACTTTGACCTCCTGGTTCATAGGTTGATGTTCAACCATTGAGCCACGCTGACTGGGCCTGACTGACTGTCTAATAAAGAAGGGTCCCTCAGAATTGGTCATGAAGTTAATTTTCTAACTAAGGACTGACAAATGACAGTAGCACTAAGAAAGAATTTTAGCATATATTCCCTTCCACTAAAATTTCCTGAGAGGTAAGTGTGTGTCAGGCACTGAGCTAGTACTCTTTTCTGTTGGGTTAAATTTTGCCATAAAATTAAGATAATTTCTCCAATAAATAAAGTAATTTTTGCCAATTTTTTTGGGGTGAGCAACAGGGACATGGATGAGGCATCTGGTCCCACTCTGTAAAAACTGCATTGCCCCAAATCAAAGGTTTAAATCAGGGGTCCTCAAACTTTTTAAACAGGGGGCCAGTTCACTGTCCTTCAGACCGTTGGAGGGCCGGACTATAGTTTAAAAAAAAAAACTATGAACAAATTCCTATGCACACTTCACATATCTTATTTTGAAGTAAGAAAACAAAATGGGAAAAAATACAATATTTGTATTTGCAGGTGGCCCGCGGGCCATAGATTGAGGACCTCTGGTTTAAATCATCCTAAAAAAGTTATCATTTTATAGACTGTCCCACAAGTAGATATATTTGAGGACATTGACAATGGAAGTCTCTTTACTAACTCTTACTCTTTTCTCCCAGGAATGCTTCATCATCGAGGCATTAGGCTGCTGAGCATTTCACGTGGTTGCATGAAAAGTGTGTTGTCTGATGATACACTGACATAATAATGACAAGCATCTGAGAAAATACAGATGTGGGTAATGACATGCACTTTTGTCCTCAAAGCTGTTACCATTTTTGTCTTAGTAGTTGAACATAATTTTATAGTTATAAAATCTTCTAATAATTATTGCCTTCATCTGCTGCTTTGCAGCCCTTTAAAAACATTTAGGCATGCATTTATCCACTAAACATTTATTCTTTGCCCACTATATACCGAGGCTGCACAAAATCCTGGAATCTACTGTTTTTGTTCATCCAATCAACCATTTAACAATTGAGATGACAGCCAAAAACCAAAAGTAGATATAGTACGTCTCATTTTAGACCCATGCAATTCAAATTCGCCAAATATAACCCTATTTGAATGGAAAAGTGCTAGGTGGGTATTCGTTTGTAAGGGAGGCATATGTAAAGTAAGACCAACTATTACTGGTTTTGGCATCTAAGCAAGAGTGAAAACCAGTCTCCTTGAAAAATGTACATGAAAAGCAAAGTTTACCTTTAACCTTATCCATTTTCCTTTCTCTATCCCTCTCCGAATTTTGGCAATGCCTCTTCTCCATTATTTATTGTCTCCATTGATTCATTACATACATTCACTCACCAACCAATTATTTTTCAAACAAGAGTAAGGCACTTGGCCAGTGGAAAAACGAAGATATGAAAGAGAGGAGCCTTGATTAAGGCAGCTACTGATTCTTCTGTGAGGATAAGTCATGTCCAGGCATCAGCACAGTACAAAGACGAACATGATAAATGCCATTTAGTGTACATAACTGTGAGAGCTCAGAGAATGTAAAATACCCAAGTTATTTGCCAATTGAGACCCGCCTTCCCTTGAAGAACCTCTTCCTCTCAACCAGAGGTTTGTAACCATTGCTGCACATCAGCATCACCTACAGAGTTTTCAAAAGTCCTGATACCCAGGTCAAATCCAAGTCCTGCTAAAAAAAAAAAATAAAAAAAAAAATAAAAAAGTCTCTGGACTATTGTCTGTGTCCATGGGTTATATGGGTTATGCATATATGCATATAAATGCATTTGTTAATCTCTTCCCTTTCCCTTCCCCCTTCCCTCTAGGAAGAAAAGGGGATGTCTGTAATACTTTCAACAATAAAGATAAATTTTTAAAAAAGTTTATAATGGAACCTAAAAAAAATATGCGGAGAATGGTGCAGCCTTGGTTGAGAACCATTGTTCTAAATATTCCCTGTCCTTTTAAATCTCATGTTACCCAAACTTTAATATCACTTTCCCTCGTTACCATGGAGAGGAGCAGAAAAGAAAAATAACTTCAGGGAAAATATTCACTTTTCTCATTTTCTTCACAACAACAACAACAACAACAAAACCCCACAAGTAAGCAAATAAATACAAAGCAAAACCCAACAAAACTGTCCTCTTCTGTAAGTTCATAAGATAGAAAATGAAAAAATCCCCCTTCCCACCAAAGGAGAGATCTTGATAATCAGTGGTGGGACTAGCAGTAAGAAGGAAAGAAGGGCATTTGTGGCCTGGGGTATATAGTTTGAGAGATTCAGCAAAGAAATGTCATCATCTGAGGAAGGTGAGACCAAGTAGGTTAAACCTGTCCGATTAGATGCACAGGTCTTAGACAAAGGAAATGGAATAGTAGTAGGAGGTCTGATTTATTTCGACAACAAACCCTTAGTATTTATTCCAATAAACTTCACAATATTAGATCAGTGGCCAAATTGTATTTTTACAATTTGTAATAATAAAACAAACAAATAAAGATACAACTCATAAATCAGGACTGAGAATTTGACCCTTATGTGATGAATGGGGGTGGGCATTAGGGAACTACAACAAAGAGCCACCCATTTGGCCACTATTATGAAATTGTGAAATGTGTTGGCATAGATACAAAAAGTCTGCGTCAGCAAATAAAAGCTCAGTGCAGCAACGTAGGAGAGATTTATTTTGAAATGTTCTGTTTACCTCTGGTGCGTGGAAGCATCCTTTCCCTGTTTTTCCTTTATACTATTGATAGTGACATGGATTAAGAAGCCCAGGAATAGAAAAGACCCAAGTCCCAACCCTGGTTCCTTTTTAACCACCTGTGGGAATGTGGGTATAGTTTAATGTGGGCTTCAGATTTCTTATCAGTGAAATGGGAGATAATAACTGGTTCAGAAAGTTGTGAAAATCAATAAAGAACAAATAATACAGTTGAGGCTCTTAGTAATTTTTTGTTTGCCTGTTGTAACTGCTGTGATTTTTAAGGCCATTCAAATTCTTGCAGATGTAGGAAAGGTACACATTTTATATGGCATTCGTGGAGTGGGTCATCCAGGTCTACATATAGCATCTTCTGTAATGAATGAACTTGCTGAAATCATTGGGGGCAAGTGATTGAGCTTTTCCAATCCTCTTTTGAGGTCTTACTATACTAGTAGCTTAGGGCTGGCGAACTCAAAGGCTAGCAGGGCCCTTGCAGGCCTGAGGCTGGGAAGGACTTTGGCAAACTGGAGAGTAGGTGTTCTCTCAGGGGCAGCCTCCCCTTAGGTCCACAGGTTGTTGGCATGAAGGAACTTAGGCTGAGCTGTGGCCAGATTTGATTTTTCAAGAAAAGTCAGATCCATATTTAATGTAAAATCTCCCATTTTTAAAGTACTGATGACTAATTTAATTTTATTTCTACATCATGTGGGCCAAACAAAACATCTGAGTACAGCCTGTGTGCCATCAGTTTTCAATCTTGGGATTTTGAAGGTCCTTTTCTCTTCCAGTGTTCTCTACTCTATGAGCCCAAGAATAATTATCTATATCTCATATGAGAGGTTCACCCTAAAAGTTGGAAATAAAGTCATGTGCCCACTTCCAGATAAGTGTTTCCTGTTAGTGTTTCACCATCTATAATTAGTTTTACCTCCCAGGCATTTCTTCTGCAGACAGGTTCTTGTTCCAAAGTTAAAATATGTTTCCTGTTACTTGCTGAAGTGCCTAGACTTAATTTTCTGCATGTTAATTTTATCCTTTTTTGTTTGTTTGTTTTAACACCTCTGGTTGCTAGTTTCAATCCCCCAGGGCCCAATTTTATTTTATTATTATTAATTTTTTGGTTAATCCTTACCAGAGGATATTTTTTTCCATTGATTTTCAGAGAGAGTGGAAGGGAGGGAGGGGAAGAGAGAGAGAGGAACATCGTTGTGAGCGAGACACATCGAGATAAGGCCTGTAAGATTGCCTTCCACCCTAACTGGGGTCTGGATTGAACCTGCAACCCAGGTGTGTGCCCTTGACCAGGAATCAAACCCATGACTCCTCAGTGCATGGGCTGATGCTCTAACCATTGAGCAATGTTGGCCAGGGCCCAATTTTATTTTTCACCAACTCTTGGGAGGTAAAACTTGAATGAACTTTAACATTTGTAACACTAAGTGTTTTTATAAAAATCTTGAAGAAACAGTCTTCATCCCATCTCTTATGGACTGAATTGTGTCCCTTGAAAATTATATGAGGAAGCCCTAACAAACCCCCAATGTGGCTATGTTGGGAGATAGGGCCTGTAAGGGAGGATTAAGGTTAAGTCATAAGTGTGGGGCCTATGAGACTGGTAAGAAGAGGAGCAGATACTAGGACTGTGGGTCCACAGAGGAGACAGTGAGGAAGTGGTCATCTGCAAGCCAGGAAGAGGGGCCTCACCAGAAACCAACCCTGCTGGCCCCCTGATCTTGAACTTCTGACCTTCAAACTGTGAGGAAATAAATTTCTGCTGTCTAAGCCACCCAATCTATGGTATTCTCTTATGGCAGCTCTAGCAAACTAATACACACCTAAAACTAGCCTGATGCCTTTGGTATCTGATGTCTTTGGATATTTAGACTTCTTAAAAATTCCAGTCATTCTCAGAGAAACTTCATTTTTAGACTTATCTTCTCATCTGACTTCCTGCTCAAGATATTATAGAGATTTCTGTAACTCCAACCAAAAGATGATCCCTTCTGAGAACTATATTAAACTTTACATATAATGGCAGAATATAAACTATTTGATAACTCACCCGTAAAATGTGAGATAAAGGAAACCAACCCTTTTCCCAAGTTTGAGAACTTCTCCTCGTTTGTTGGATGCTCCAGTGAGTCGCACTATGCCTACTCTCTTGAGGCTGGAGAGCCACTTGTATGCATGTTCATCATTTTTTAAAACGTCTTCAAAATCCAGAGTAGGTAGCTGGAGTTCTGAGCCCCAGTACTGACATTCTGTGAATTAAGAAAATGAAGAAAGCAGATGGGATTTCTTTGTTTTTATTTACAGTGATAACCTCAGGGAAGGGGCTAGTTCTTTGAAGTTGGCTTTTGGTTCATCATGGACTTTCAGTCATATTACAAATGCCTAAGTTACCAGATTTTCTTCCTTGGAGCCATGCTAGTCTACTTATATGCCCCCCTGTCCTGCCCCTCCCCCCCGCCCCATTTTCTACTATGCCTGATCCATGACAGATACTCATTATACCACATTTGTTGAGAGAATGTAGTTTAGCTCATGGATGACTTTTGATCTGTTACACCCTTAGGCTTCTCTGTCTGGAAACTGCTTAAAAATAACCTTGAACACTGTGTGTTTTAACAGCCAAGTCCTATTGCTCAACTCCAAATAGATGATAAATTGGAATGGTGGCCTAGAACATCATATGCCTAATCTTGAGAGTGTGGGGACTGTTTCTCATGGTAGGTACAGTTCCTTCTTTCTTATTTTGTCTGATAAGATGATTTCTCTGGGGTTGCATTGTCCTTTGGCGTCAGCAAAAGCTGGCAGTGGGAAAAGAAGTTGAAAGGTGTGGTCCCCGGGTGCATAGACACCTTGGTGACAAAGCCACAGGAGATAAAGTCAAATGCATGCCTTAGCTCTTTGGTTCTCTATCTTAAATGCTCATAAAATGTTTACTCGGAAAAAAAACACAACAGGAAGAAAAGCAAATATAAAAAACAATTTGATTGCAAACCAGGATCTCCCAAAAGAGGTGGAACACAGAGGACATGGAATTTTTTTCAGGGGAAATAACTCAGACATTACAACTGCATTCAGGAAAGACTTAACTCGAGCTAATCCATTTGATTTATTTATTTATTTTCAGGAATGAATTTACCTTAGGAAGGCAAACCTTCCTAACAAGTGACAGAATGAGAAATTATGATCTCAATATCTAAGCAATGCCTCACTTTTCTAACTGGGGACTATACGCCATGTTACAGAAAACAACCCTAACACCCCCTTCCCATTTAAGAATGAGGAATGGGTCAATGTTCCCTGGTAGTAGTTGTAGACTGGAAATCATTCCTTCGATGTCAACATAGCTATTTCTGCAGAAACAGGGATTTCTTAGGAGTCAGATAATGAAAAGATGCAGGCAAGTGCAAGGAGCCACTTCCTGCTCTTCTACCAGCTAGTGGCATAAGGACATTCACAGGTGAGTAGGTGTGTGCCTGTGGGAAGACCCAATCAGACTATGCATGCACATATTGCCAAAGTTTCTGGGTTATTATGCATAACAGCTTGCATAATGAGGCAGAACTTCTGAGGCCTAAATTAAAAACTATAAATTAGTTCTTCCAGGTTGCTGAATTAATACATTTGGTGTTAATATTATTTAGTATCTCATATATTCCACAAGCCAAAGTAACTTAATGTATCTTCTCCAGTAGTTGAGTTTATATCCAGCCATTGATTCCTAACTTCTCCTTTTATAATTTCTCCTTTTAACGCCTCTCTCTCTTTGGGACTGAAAGGACGATAGCCTTACCTGCTCCTTTTTCTCTTTAAAGCATTGCTTATCAAGTGCTTCTTACACTTGAGACAACCTTGGGTGTAATGTTAATCAAATCACTTTGGCAAAGAGAAGCAGCTCTGCACATGGGCCATTTTGTATTATGCCAAAGCAAGTCGGCTAAAGTAATAGCAGACAACGACATGTGAAGGCTTTGGAGTAATGGTCATACTTTTTTTTTTTTTTTTTTTTGGGGGGGGGAGTTGGTTTAACATACAAGTTCTTGGTATTCCTTGATTATATTAGTAACTCAACAATTATTTGTTGGTTTATCTTTTCAATAAACCTAGTATTTTACTATATCAAGGCACTGGGATAGGTGGTGGGTTTTAAGGAGCTCATAGTCTATGGAAGAAGTAGACCTTGGAACTGACAATGAAAACACAATATGATAGAGGCTACAGTTCAGGGGTGGGGAATTTTTTTTTTTTTTCTGCCAAGAGCCATTGGATGTTTATGACATCATCCACAGGCCATACAAAATTATCACCTTAAAATTTAGCTTGCTATATCTGGTCAAACATTTGATTAACTCCTCCTAATGCCTTGGCAGGGCCAGACCAAATGATTTTGCAGGCCTTCTACAGCTTGTGGGCGGGTCGTTCCCCACCCCTTCTATAGTTGAAATATGTTCAAGATACTGTGAAGGCATCAGATCTTCTGACCCCTTATCCCATGCTCCTTCTTGGATGCCAGCTATTCTTTTGCATGCATGAAGTTCCACAGGTCTGTTCCTCATGGCTCCACTATTTCTTCTAAAATCAAACAGGCCTGGTTTCATATAAGGGAGCCTCTTCTCAAAGAGGCATTCTACTTGGCTTTGTTGTGAATGTTCAATTATGTGGTTGTTTGCTTTGCCATCCCACTTGCTCTTTTTGTTTAAAGTCTTCAGATTGTAATATCTGATACCAATCAAGAAGGCTGCAGAGAGAAGGTGATACATGTCATAAATAATGCTTATTGGCTGCCTCACTAGCAAAGTCATTTGGCTTCCAGTTAGGAGAAACATTTCCTGGGCAAAACGTCAGTGTTAAAGACATAAATAACAAGTCACCGTCTCTTCTTTCCAAAGCTTACCCTAGATAAACCATATCCAGAAACTTGAAAAATATCTCAAACTGCTTTAAGCTTATTGGCCCTAAATGAAAAGCACAGGCCCATAGAGTATTAGAGGCAGGTGTGTTAGGGGCTCAGCTGGCATCTTCCCATGGCTTTAGGATTCCCCGTCATCATTAGTTCTCATTATTGACCAACAAGATTGTTTAAGCCACAACCGAGGATCCTCTTAGTTCTTGGACGCTGTGATGATCTGACTGATGACAGGTTGTTCATTGCCGGGGAGACTGTTAGATAGATTAGTTTTCTACATGGCCATGTAGCAAATGTGTTACTGTTATTACAAACTGTTAACTAATTTACTAATGAACCTTTATTGTAATGTTTAGAAGAAAATCTTATGTCCTGGTGACAGCAAACCAGCGTGGAGAGTTGGTATGCTCCAGATGCGGTATTGTCAAGCAGAACTTCTGAGAAAATTCGGAAATATTCTGTTGTACTGTCCAGTACTGTGGCTACTAGCAACAACCTATGGCTGTTGAGACTTGACATATGGCAAGTGGAACTGAAGAACTAATTTTTAAAAATTTAATATTACCTAATTTAAACTTAAGTAGTTACATGTGACCAGTAGTAGATGAGACAGGACATGAGTAAAGTGCATAGAGGCAAAGAGGCCTGGTTTTAAATATTATTATTTTGCCTCTTAGCAGCTAGTTTCTTGGTCTCTGTCTCATAATTTATAAAATAGCCATTGTTACATTTACCTTGCAAGTCTTTTATTAACAATGCAGTGAGATTGTACAAGGAACCTAGCACAGTGCCTGGCACATAGTAGACTAATAATAATCCTATATAATAAAAGGCTAATATGCAAATTGACTAATGTGGGAACCACTGGTCTCAATGACTTGCACTGACCACCTGGGGACAGACACTCAATGTAGGAGCTGTCCCCTGGTGGTCAGTGCGCTCCCACAGGGGGAACGCCGCTCAGCCAGAAGCTGGGCTCATGGCTGGTGAGCGCAGAGGCAGTGGCAGGAGCCTCTCCCGCCTCAACAGTCGGACATCCCCCGAGGGCTCCCACATTGTGAGAGGATGCAGGCCAGGCTGAGGGAACCCCCCAATTGCATGAATTTCATGCACTGGGCCTCTAATAATAATAATAAATAATAATAATAATAATAATAATAAGTACAGCTAATAATTGCTGAGTACTTTCTAGGTGTCAGGAATAGTGCAAGGTGCTCCCTATATATTATTTCCTTTAATGTCCACAATAAATATACATGAGAGATGCTTTCAGTATTTTCATGTTACAGAGAAGGGAACAGAGATCCAAGTCCTGTAGCTAATGATTTTTAGAGTCAGTCAGTCAAATCTAGGTGACTGATTCCAAAGTCTATAATTTTAACAACTACACATAAAATAAACATTGGATGCCCTGAAATACTGTCATCCCATGTATTTTTATGTTCTATGTCTGAAGGTCCACAGCTTTTCCTGTCCCTTATGAAGGAATTCTACTAGATAAACAAGAAAGCAGAGCAATTTACAATAAGGAACACTGTGTCTGAACTTGCTCTAGCCTGGGTGTTTAAAGATAAATCTTGGCTCTTCGTCAGGATTTTAAATGCAGAAGAAAACATTATGAGTAGGCTCCATTGCACAACTCTACAACAGCACTGCTTTTCACCTGTTGTGAAATGAACCGAGGCTTCAAAATCAGCCGGCTCCTCTACCTTATGCCATTATAATTCAGGGATCCATGTCAGTTTGGTTTTACTTGAGGCCAGTATCACTTTCCAGAGAGCTTTGGTGACTGTGGCCAGGAAATAGAATAAAGAGAGATTGGAAAAACAATTTCACTAGATGTAAATGTTTTTAAAACTTTGAGTTTGTATTTTGACTACTTTGGGGGATTCCAGAAGCATCTGCTTTGGGCACACACTGAACACATCTGTATACATTTATAGCATGTTTCAGTGAATTTGTTTCTACGTGAGTCACTTTCCCATGATAGAATAACACGCACACACAGCATGCTCGCCAACACACAAGTGCACACACACACAATACCCTCTGTTTTAAAACTGCAGAAGGAGTTAGATTCTTTCAATCAAGGTTATACTCTGCATGTGTAAAGTTAACCAATTTCACACAAAGATACTGGGTATACAGCAAGGTTATCAGTCATATACATAATTCAGGCCGGCAGGATTTCACTTTCAGAGTGAGGTTACAAAGATTTTTAAGCTCTGCAAAATTTATAGTGTTCCAGCTATAGCTCTCATTTTGGTGTACCCTGGCAGGAGCTTCGCAGAAATCAGCAACCGAGGGCCACAGCCCTGTGTGGAACCCGTGTCCTAGTGTGAGCTG